TCATCCCCCCACATTACTGTCTCAGTCCCCCACATTGCAAACCTCAGCCACCCCATACTGCTGTCCTCAGCCCCCCACATTGCATTCCTCAGACCCCCCCCCCTCACTACAGTCCTCAGACCCCCCCCCCCCACACACACACACACACTGCAGTCCTCAAACCCCCCCCCCCCCCACACACACACACACATTGCAGCCCTCCACATTGAGTTCCTCAGCCCCCGGCCCCCCCCCCCCCCCCCACTCCTGTCCTCAGACCCCCCCACATTACAGTTCCCTGCCCCTTCCCCTTAGATTACTGTCCTCACCCCCCACATTACAGTTCTTTTTCAGCCACCCCACATTACAACCATAGCGCCCCCCCAATTACAATTCTCAGTCCCCCACATTGCAAACTTCAGCCACCCCATACTGCTGTCCTCAGCTCCCCACATTGTGGTCCTCAGCCCCTCCCCCCCTTCACTACAGTGCTCAGACCCCCCCCCACACACACACACTGCAGTGCTCAGACACCCCCCCCCACTTACATTGCAGTCTTCACCCTCCTTTACACTGGTGTCTTGAGCCCCCTTTTATGTTGCCCCCCCCCGTCCTGCCTTACACAGACAGATCAGAGGGCAGGAGGCACAGCAGGTCTGTGACGGAGGGAGCTGCAAGCTGGTGAGTGGTTGCTAGGACTGCCCTGCATTCTGCTCCCACTCCCTGTTCCAGAACTGTCCTGCCTCCCTCCCGCTGTCAGCTCTGTGAGGATGACAGCGGTGATGCCTGGGGGACAGAACAGCTCCTAAATGGTGGGACTGTAGCAGTCCGGATGAGACATTGACTCGGTCCGCACCGGGATCACGGTCCGCCATTCAGTGATGCCGGTTCTAAACGTTTCCTGTTCTGTCTGAAACATTCCGAAGGTTTGGCTGGAGTTGGGCATTAGGTGGCCGCTGTGTAAAACAAGATTATTTTTTTGCATGCTCAGCATAAGAATAGACTGCAAACTGTGTGATCTGAGCCACAAGCAGACCCACTCAAGGTCCATATATATTTGGGCACAGGCACAATTATAGTTTTTTTCCAGGTATTTACCAAAACATATTTGAGCTCTAGTTCTATAATGGATATGGGCTGAAAGTGCACACTCTCAGGTGTAATTTGAGGGTATGTACATCCAAACTGGAGGAAGGGTTTAGGAATTACAGCTCTTAAGAGTAGCCGTCCCCCCTTTTTCAAGGGACCAAAAGAAATTGGACAATTGAATCAAAAGCTATTTCATGGCCAGGTGTGGGCTACTCCTTCGTTATTTCTTCATCAATTAAGTAGGTAAAAGGTCTGGAGTTGATTCTAAGTGCGGTATTTGCATTTGGAATCTATTGCTGTGAACCTACATCAAGTGTTCAAAGGAGCTGTCTATACAAGTGAAACAAGCCATTGTAAGGCCTCAAAAATTAAACAGAGAGATCGCAGCAACATTAGGAGTGGCCAAATCAACAGTTGGGTCCATTCTGAGGAAAGAAGAACGCACTGGTGAGCTCATCAACATAAAAAGGCATGAAGGTCCACGGAGGACAACAATGGTGGATGATCGCAGGATCCTCTCTATGGTAAAAACCCATTCACAACATCCAGACAAGTGAAGGACACTCTCCAGGAGGTGGGCGTATCATTGTCAAAGTATACAGTCAAGAGAAAACTTCACGAGAGCAAATACAGAGGATTCACCACAAGGTGCAAACCATTTGTAAGCATGAAGAATAGAAAAGCCAGCTTAGACTTTCCCAAAAAACATCTAAAAAAGCCAGACCAGTCCTGGAAAAGCATTCTTTGGACGGATGAAACTAAGATTAATCTGTACCAGAATGACGGGAAGAAAAAAGTGTGGAGAAGGCTTGGAACGGCTCATGATCCAAAGCACACAACGTCATCTGTAAAACATGGTGGAGGCAGGGTGATGGCATGGGCATGCATGGCTTCCAGTGGCACTGGGTCATTGGTGTTTATTGATGATGTGACAGAAGACAGAAGCAGCTGGATGAATTCTGCAGTGTTTACAGATATACTGTCAGCCTAGATTCAGCCAAATGCAGCAAAGCTGATTGGACGGCGCTTCACAGTATAGATGGACAATGATTCAAAACACACTGCAAAAGCAACCCAGGAACTTTTGAAGGAAAAGAAGTGAAATATTCTGCAATGGCCGAGTCAATCACCTGATCTCAACTTGCTGAAGGCAAAACTAAAGGCAGAAAGACCCACAAACAAAGAACAACTGAAGACAGCTGCAGTTAGAGCCTGGTAAAGCATCAGAAAGGAGGAAACCCAGTCTTTGGTCATGTCCATGGGTTCCAGACTTCAGGCAAAGCATCAGAAAGGAGGAAACCCAGTCTTTGGTCATATCCATGGGTTCCAGACTTCAGGCAAAGCATCAGAAAGGAAGAACCCCAGTCTTTGCCTTAAGTCTGGAACCCAAGGACATGACCAAAGACTGGGGTTCTTCCTTTCTGATGCTTTGCTTGAAGTCTGGAACCCATGGACATGACCAAAAACTGGGTTTCCTCCTTTCTGATGCTTTGCCTGAAGTCTGGAACCCAAGGACATGACCAAAGCATCAGAAAGGAGGAAACCCAGTCTTTGGTCATGTCCATGGGTTCAGACTTCAGGCAAAGCATGAGAAAGGAGGAAACCCAGTTTTTGGTCATGTCCATGGGTTCCAGACTTCAGGCTGTTATTGCCAGTAAAGGATTCTCAACAAAATATTAAAAATGAACATTTTATTTATGATTCGATTAATTTGTCCAATTACATCTGAGCCCCTGGAAGGGGGGGGGGGGGGGGGACTGTGTATAAAAATGGTTGCAGTTCCTAAAATTTGCACTTGATATTTATGTTCAACCCCTTGAATTAAAGCTATATATATATTTATTTATTTTTATGTAGTATGAGGGCTGCCTCATTGGAAATGAATGATTTCCTTGTTTAGGCAGGTTCTCATTGTACACTATTTTGGTATATCCAAATGAGGCCGTACAAATATTGTAAAGTAAGAAAATTTGTACACTTATATCAACGAGTATAGCTGCCTTCTCATACCTCAAGGTCGTCCGGCCTATGTGGAAGAACGGGCTCTTCCGAAGGTTTCTGTGTCTGGGTATTTTTCTCCTTCCTGGATTCCTGCACCCCCATGTTCACCCCCTTCTTCATCTTGCATACAACGGCGTACTCAGCCGTTACCTCGTCTGCTTGAGACTCGTTCAGTGTGCTATCCATCTCTGACCGAGAGCCCACACACTCGTACAGGGAGCTCTTTAGGGGTTCAGGGGTGTAGTTCAGGTTGGAGTAGGTGGCATCTTCTTCGGCGGTAGCGGCGGGGTGCTGCCAGTTCGGAGAGTGGTACAATGGGTCCATGCTCACGGGCCGAAGCTCTGGCAGCAGAAAGAAAAAAAAAAAAAAGGATGTTCATGATTGCTTACATGACACATGTACCAAAAGCTCTCACATTCTAAGAAGTTCAATATTAATGGAGATAAAAATATACTGGGACCTACATATGACATTGGTGTTGAAAAACACAAATAAATGTGGCTTTGGTTACTTTGGAAGCCACTGCTGACCTCCTTTTTTTAATGAACTATTTGACTGGTTGTCATGAGGTTTCTAGGGTTACACTGACCCAAAACAAACATTCTGCCTTTACTGGCTACATGCTCATTTCAGGTCAGTGGCACCAAACTTTTTTTTATAGCCTGGGGCAGTCAACTAGACCTATAATAGAAGCCTATATATTTCTCTCAATACAGATTCCCCTTAAGGGGAATTGGTCAAAGTAAGAGTATGATGGGAGAGCAAAGAAAGGTAATAAAAATGACGCTAAGGGAGGGGGAGACGAAAGTTAATGTGCTATGTTGGTCAATGAACAGATGTCTAGCCTTCTTCATGATTCTCAGCCGAGATTGCTTAAGGTTTGGGAACCTTGGATACGTTATTCCTTGCCATCCCTGCCTCCTACTAGTTATGGCCTCTTATAGTCGCTGCCTGTGCTAGCCTTGGATTCTTCTAGTTTCCCTTTCTTCCATGTTTTCTTTTGTCGTTTTATGTTCTTTATTCTTTCTTCTAACCTTTTAATTTTCTCTTTTTTTTTCCGGTAATATGTAGGATTACTGCTGCTATTATTTGGTTCGGCTTTATTGCCGTCCCTCCTTGATGTCATTGGACATTTCGTTATTTGGCTAATACAAGTCAGCAGGATGTCTCTTTATGTTATTGTTCTTCTCTGCCCCTGCATGGGCGTATCTTAAGCTCGTTGTATTCTTAAAACAAAAACTTTCTTAATAAAAATATTGAAACAGAAAGTTAATGTGTTGCTTTGCTCGGCATGAGCAGCAAATAGGTACCAAAGGGCCATATGCTGGGCATGAGGGGTCCGCTATCCAACAAAGAAATGATTCTGGACATGACAGCACTTGGTAACTAGGAAGGGGACCTATCAATACAAGTAACTATGAACTTACGGGGGTCTCCCAAACGCGGCTTTTTTATTTCATGGAGTTTGGTGTCGGATTTGCTGAGAGATCTAAGCTGGGTTTGACGCAGCAGGGTCTGGAAAACGACACAGGCAGTCAGATACAATAATTCATATCAAAAACGTCTAACAAATTCTCTTATAGCAACACAGAGCATAACGGTCAATGACGGAGAGAACCAAAACCAAACGCCGTTTCGTTGTCCCTAGTTGGATTACGCTTGAGAAGGATTCTTTGAAAAAAAAATAAAAATGTTATATTAAGCCAAAAGATTTGTATTTTGATTTGTATAAAGTAGGGAAGGGTTTGAACCCCCTCGGCAGACTTTACATGCCTTCTCCGCTGGTATGATTTACAATATATTAAGGTGGGAATACATCGACCGATCGGTCATCCGACAAGGCGTTCGTTTGTTGGTCCAAATCGTGGCCCACATTAACCAATCTAAAAAAAATCGTTCGTCGGGCAATACGTAGTGTTGACATCTTCCGTACAAGTGGAAGTGATGCACCTTGTAGCCACGCCCTTCCGGCCAGAACGAAAGATTATATACACAACGATTACTAGCAATGAGTATAATATAATTTATTACATGACCTATATACATAGTGATACATAAAATATAATATTCCAAAAAATACCACTCCTAATATTAGTGATAATTAGCGGCGCATTATATATGTGTCACACTAATTCCTTTTGATGGTCTCTATGTGCAAACTCATTTACACAAATATTAAGTGACATAATGGTTAGCACTTCTGCCTGGCAGTACTCGGCTCGTTGGTTCGAATCCAAGCCACGGCACCACCTGCCTGGAGTTTGCATGTTCTCCCTGTGCCTGCGTGGGTTTCCTCCGGGTACTCCGGTTTCCTCCTACACTCCAAAGACATGCTGGTAGATTAACTGGCTCCTGTCTAAATTGGCCTTAAATGTGTATGTATGAATGTGAGTTAGGGACCTTAGATTGTACCCCCCTTGAGGGTTAGGGACCTTAGATTGTACGCCCCTTGAGGGTTAGGGCCCTTAGATTGTACGCCCCTTGAGGGTTAGGGACCTTAGATTGTATGCTCCTTGAGGGTTAGGGACCTTAGGTTGTACGCCCCTTGAGGGTTAGGGACCTTAGATTGTACGCCCCTTGAGGGTTAGGGCCCTTAGATTGTACGCCCCTTGAGGGTTAGGGACCTTAGATTGTACGCCCCTTGAGGGTTAGGGACCTTAGATTGTACGCCCCTTGAGGGTTAGGGACCTGAGATTGTACGCCCCTTGAGGGTTAGGGCCCTTAGATTGTACGCCCCTTGAGGGTTAGGGACCTTAGATTGTATGCTCCTTGAGGGTTAGGGACCTTAGATTGTACGCCCCTTGAGGGTTAGGGACCTTAGATTGTACGCCCCTTGAGGGTTAGGGCCCTTAGATTGTACGCCCCTTGAGGGTTAGGGACCTTAGATTGTACGCCCCTTGAGGGTTAGGGACCTTAGATTGTACGCCCCTTGAGGGTTAGGGACCTTAGATTGTACGCCCCTTGAGAATTAGGGACCTTAGATTGTACGCCCCTTGAGGGTTAGGGACCTTAGATTGTACGCCCCTTGAGGGTTAGGGACCTTAGATTGTGCGCCCCTTGAGGGTTAGGGACCTTAGATTGTACGCCCCTTGAGGGTTAGGGACCTTAGATTGTACGCCCCTTGAGGGTTCGGGACTGATGTGACTGTACAATATATATGTGTAAAGTGCTGCGTAAATTGACGGTGCTATATAAGTACCTGAAATAAATAAATAAATTATATGTGACAAAAAATGAACCTGAGCCTTTAAGGAAGGGTGGGCGTTTTCCAGGCTCACCTGCCCTTAACCTATGCATTGTTATATGTGCTCCTACTATGGAGGCTCTGAAAATGGCAGAGTTAGGACCGCAGTATATACAGAGGTCCCTTGTCGTGGGCACTGCGGCTTATGAACATATTGGCAAATGTGTGCAATCAAAAACCAATTCTGTCATTTTGCAGGCTGGCAGGTAAGTGTGCTGGGAATTCTTTGGTTTGTTCAGGACAAATAGAGAGGGTTCATTTCCCCAGCAGAGGAAATTTACTCCTGCTAAAACAAAAATGAAATTACGTTTTGGTTGTGCATACAATTTAGGTGACTAAAAGTGTGCAGGCTTACAAAACGGAAAAAATGTGCCTGGAGGTGAGCTTAAAGCGGAGCTCCACCCAAAAGGGGAAGCTCCGCTTTAAGCCTTTGTCCCCCGCTCCACATTTAGGATTGGCACCTTTGGGGAACGGGTACCTGAATTTGACAGGTATCCTCTCCCACTTCTGCTGCGATTGCCTAGGCAATCAGAAGAAGTTGTCCTCCCCCCTCCCTCCCCGTAGTCTTCTGGGACACGTGACAGATCCCAGAAGACTACGGAGCCATTCACAAAGTGCAGCGCTACTCGGGCATGCGCAGTGGGCACCCAGCTGTAAAGCCGTAAGCTGTCACAGCCGGGTTCCCACACTAAAAATGCCGGCGCCAGGGAGAGAAGACGGCCGGTGAAACCAGCGGTGGTGAGGACACCACTGGACCGAGGGACAGGTAAGTGGCTGTATTATAAAAGTCAGCAGCTACAGTTTTTGTAGCTATTAACTTTTTCTTTTTCTTCCAGGTGAAGCTCCCCTTTAAGAGAAATGAAGGAAGTAGAAGACTTCATAGGCAAGCATACAGATTTATAATAGTAATAAAAATAATAGAAATAAAAAAATAAATAATAATATACAATTATTTATCAACACATCAGTATTATAATTTACCACATCCACAAGGGCCACCCCATTGGGACAGACATTCCTCATCCTCCTCTTCCTCCTTTTCTTCCTAAACAAGGACAAATATATCAGATATCTAAATTACCTTCCACCACATAATCCACTTCCATCTTTAACCTTTTTCACTTAAAATCCATATTTCAGTAAGTAAAATTTTTAGTAACTGCGTGTATACATTTCTGACATGTTACAATACATAGCAACAGTATCAGTTTTCAGAAAAACTGCTTTTACCTTTTACCATTGAACGCACTTCCTGTCCTAGGGTGACAACTTTGATCCTCCATTAATATAATGCAGTAAGGGTTGTCACTGTAGGACAGAATGTATGTTACTGACCACTGGATGAAAAGGAAAAGCATAATTAAAAAAAAAAAAGGAAAAAAAAAAAAAAAGAAATGCAGTCACCACAGACTTGTAATATTTACCATTATCATCGAAAGTTAAAGTGACACTAAAAGAAAATCCCACGTTTTGAGTTGTCCCTGGAACAAGGATAGAGGGGAAATCTTCCAGTGGCGACACTGGTTCTGCTTTCTCTAGTGACAACCAGGGATTCCCTCACTTGTTGGGATTTCCTTTCACTTCCTGTTTGGCTATGGGACAGGAAGTAAAGGGAAATCACTCCAGTGAGACATAAATGACAAAAAAAAAAAAAAAATCTTGAGAGTTATATCCTTCCTTAATGCAGGCCATACATGGTTCGAATGCCAAACGATTTTTCGTGCGAAGATAGAAACATCGTTTGTTCTGTAATCCGATGGTGCCACCAATGATTTAGAAAATCGGTTGTTTTTCACAAATTTTCCAGCATGCCCAATAAAAGAAAGGGGGAGGAACCACACAAACCGGCCGATGACATTGCCCCACTAACAGAGCGAAAATTGGCCGATTATTCTTAGGTCTGATTTTCGTAGGAAAATCATTCGGAATTCGAAACATGCCTGCATTAGACTCTATCCAAAAATTAAAAAAAAAAAAAAAAAAAAAAGTTTTGCCTATAGTTGTTCTTTATGTAGAATGAAGTCGGGTTTAAATGTCACAAATTTTTTTTATTGCTTCCTATGCCATCCTGTACTGATAACGTCCAGCAAAAAAAAAAAAAAAAATTGGTTGGAGTTGCAGATTTATCTTCCCTATGCCCATTTGAGTCTAGTTCTCTAAATGATACCTTTTATATCCCGGGGAGAATCCTGTGTAATACATTTCCTCTTTCAAAGGATGAATTCATGAACAGAATAAAAAAGGAACACCTTTACATCCAGGAGCCTGCTGACAATAGCTGTAGGTATGAGTGACGTACCTTCTCTTGCAGAGGGTGCACAGTCCGCACAGCAGAATAAACAGACCCAGTGCAGAGCAGAGGGCAGGGAGGATGTGATCGGAGAGTGAAGGAGTCACAGCATGTGGAGCCATAGTGGCAACTTGCACCTAAAAGCTATAAGGAGATAAAAAAAAAATTAAAATAAAAAAAATACATACATACATACACATATATTTTAATATATATATATATATATAATATTAACTACACACACACACACATATATATATATATATATATCTCTCACACAGCATCCTTGCGGTCACATTAGAATTGACAGTCATTGCTGATAAGGCATTTTCTGCACCCAGCTAAAATATGGGTCACCCTGGACGATGGTGCAGCTCGATGTGCGGTGCATCAGGACTTACAGCTTGCAATACTCAGGAGGCCTCGCATTGTGCTGTTCCACCACTTCCTGCCAAGGTGCAGGTGTCTGCTCAGCTCTGCATGTGGTTTAGCACTGCAACTTTATCAAGACCTTTCATGACTCACAAATTCACACAAAAAAAAACGACTAGAATTCAAGTTTCCATGACGTTGCTGTATGATCCTCACTGTTACTTCAGAGTCCCCCAATGAATCACAGGTGGAATTACGATCCTTTGACTCCAAACATGAGACCACTAATGCACGTGTGTGCCACCTAGGACACGAGATCTGAAATCCATCTCCAGCTTACCCAGTGCTGCCCATAATTCAACCCGGAAAAAGGACAAGCATGGAACAAAAGTAGTAGGGAGTCTGTGGGGGGGGGGGGGGGGGGGGGGCAGCACCAGGGAGGAGATGAGTAGTGCTGTACAGGGGTCTCCAAACCATGGCCCTCCAGCTGTTGAGGAACTGCAATAAATATATATATATATATACATACATATATACACACACACATATACATGCACACACATACATACATATACACATACATACATACATACATATACACACACACACACACACACACAAATAATAAATATATATATATATATACACATACATATACACACACACACACATATATATATACATACATACATACATACATACATATACACACACACACATATATAACATACATACATACATACATATACACACACACACACACACACACACAACACACACACACACACACATAATATATACATACATACATACATATACACACACATATACACACACACTATGTAGCCAAAAGTATCGTGCCAGCCCTCCAAATCATGTGATTCAGGCATTACAATCCCCTCCATGGACACAGGTGTATACAATCAAGCCCCTAGACATGCAGACTGCTTCTACAAACATTATGAAAGAATGGGTCGCTCTCAGGAGCTCAGTGAATTCAAGCATGGTCCTGTGATAGGTGCAAT